CCTTAAATTTAGGAGCAAAAACATTTCATCAATGTTCAGTTCAAAAAAGATTAGGAAAGAGTAAACATATTATTCAATACCAAGGGATTAAAACTTGTACAGGCATTTGTTTTGGCTTTACCACCTACCAGGTAAGCTAATCTAACGATCTAATCTAATACTGGTCAAAGAGTAATAAAACATACTTCACAACACACAGAGTGAATTTTAGTATAAGGCAGTAAGTACTAGTTATAAACAAAGGCTATGAAATAAAGGTCATGAAATGCTTCAGAGGGTCATCAGCCAACGAGGCACAGGATGAGTTACAAAGTGGTGATATCTTAAGGAAAACTCAAAGACTGACTGTCTTTTTCTCCATTAAAGAAGAAGACAAGATGAAGTAAAGGTGTTTAAGAGGGGACAGCAAGGGCAAATGCTTATAGGTGGGAAACAGCCCATAGTTTGTGAAAGGATATGCAGCAGACACAGTAGGAAGTGCTCCCAGGAGATGGGGAGACCCAGGGATGCAAGCCAATACGTAGAGGTGGACCCTAGTGTCCCACAGAGAGTAAAATCAAAGGAAGCCTTGCCCAGTGCTAAATCAAGATTGTTGTTGAACCTCAATCAATTTTCATTCTTTCTACTTTTCTTGAAATTGGTTGTCCATCTTGATCTCAGTTTTCTCATTTTCCACATTTAAACAATACTTTCCCATCTTTAGAGAGTAAGGGAAGAAGAAAATTATTAGTCTGAGATATACAAATCAATCCTCACAAGTCAAGGTGGAAAATAATACTTCTATGATGTAACAGAAGGCATAACATTCATAAACGCTCTGCCATTCATTTTCTACAACTGCACTGTCCAATCAGGCAACACCAGCTACCAGGAACACGTGTGTCCTGGCTAGTCCACATCTAAATGTGCTGGAAGAGTAAAATACACACTGGAGGGTGAAGACATAATACAGAAAAAAAATGAAGTGCAACATATCATTAATTTCTTGTAATGTCTTGAAATGGCACTATTTTGAATATAATGAGGTCAGTAGAGTATTATTAAAAGTAAATTTCCCCACCTCTTTATACTTTTTTCAATGTGACTACCAGGTAATCTTAAATGACCTATGTGGCTCACATTACTTTTCTATCAGACAGTCCTGTTTACAAGACCAGTGCAGTCCTTTGTTTACCAATGTGCTTATTCCTTTGTGTTACCCTTGGAAACAGTCATTTAAATTAAAATAAAACATTCATAGAAATCAACAAGACCTCTTTCCTGGAGACATGTAATAAAAATTAAAGTGTGTCATAAAGAATTTCCTGCTTTCTCTCTCTTCAGGCTAAGTAAACAGTAGGGTACAGAACCATGTACACATATCCAGAGACCAGAAATAAAGAAGAGTTGCCCTGGTTTGCACCAATGGTACAGTGATGTTTGACATCTGAGATCAAGGCTGTGCTTTCAAAGCCACCATTCAAAAGGTCACTATCTCCTGGCTTGTCCCTGTCAGCAGACTAGGCTCTCGGCAGGTGGTGATGATAATGGGCCTTCCATACTTTAGTAAGAGCACATCAATTCTGTCAATAGTCAAACCTAATTCTCACCAAAGGCAGCCAGGACAAAGGGAAGCAGTGAAGGGAAAAGTACATTTAGTTTCCATCTCCTCACAACAGGATCATATACATGTTTGTTAATGGCAATGCAGCTCTCTGCTTTTTATGTCTATTTATTTTGCTATAATGTCAAGAAAATTCTCAAGAATATCACAATGGGCTCTCATAAACCCTTCACTTAGATTCCCCTGTTAACATTGCATCACATTTGCTTTATTTCTTTTTATTTCATTTTATTTTTTATTTCTTTTTGTGTTTTTCCCTTTGCACTTGCATGTAGTATCTGCATATATAAAAATATATATATATACATGCATATATGTATATAAATATACATATTATATACTTTTTAAAGTCATTTAGGAAGAAGTTGCAGAAATGATATCCTTTCCTCAAATATATCATAGTAGGTTCTTTCAAAGAACAAAGACATTCTCCTATGTAACCACTTTACAGGGTTATCAAAAATCAGCAAATTAATAATACATTTCTACTATCTCAGCTATAAACGTTCAAATTTTTATAGTTGTTCCAAGTTACAATTTTGATCCAGTGTTGCATCTGCTGATCACATCTATTTGTTCACTTTATGATAGAATAACTCTTCATTCCTTTTCATATATTTCATGATTTTTTGATATTTGAAGAGTAGATTTTAATTTTTTGTAAGATGTCCCTCAGTTTATCTAATGGTTCCTCATGATAAGGTAACTGGTTATAATTTTGGTCATAATTTTTGGCTGAAATGTCATGGAAATTGTGCTATGTTCTTCTCAGTGAATCAAATCACTAGACTCTGCCCCATTGCTGAAGGTACCTTCAACTATGGAATATTTATGTATTTATTTAATTATGGAATATTTGCCTGGTTTCTTCACAAGTTACTATTTTTCCTCTTGTATTAATAAGTATGAAATAGGCAAGTACTATAAGACTATATAAACATCCTTGCCATCATCAAACACTGACCGATAAAGTTTAGCATTTGTTGCTTATTTTTGTCTAAATCAATTTCTAGTGTAATGGTTGCCAAATCATAGTTTTCTAATTAAAGCTTTCTTTCAATATTCATTAGTTGTAGTAAGAAAGAGTATCTCCTCTTACTTCATTTGTTTACTCATTTATTTTTGTTAGTATACACTCATTGATTCTTGCTTTATTAAACCTGTTATAATCTGCTATTATCAATATTTATTTCAACCATCAAATTGTCCCAGATTTCTTCAGTAAGTTCACTTGAAGCTAGTTCCCAAGTCCTTTTAAGACACCTTCATCATTTTTAGAGTATTTCCTTAATTTATGAAGCAAAACTATCTTCCACTCTCATCTAGGTCCCTGTCCAGCTCTGAAATCAGCCACTTCTCCAAGAAATGCTGTTTCCCTATAGTGGAGAATTATATTTAGAAACCAAGTACTTTATATTGTGTTTGCTACTGGAATGATAAATCTTCTAGATCCTCTCATCTGCCAACAGAGCTAAGAAATTAGGAAACAAATGAATGTGTAAATGAAAACATATATTTGTGAATACAAAAATCTATGCAGTCCACTTTTTGACACATACGATATGCCAAGCAGTGTATTATACCATAAGCATCAAAATGAGCATAACATATGGTTTCTACATGTTTTTTTATAAAATATTATCTAAACAGTCTTTAAAATTATATTTTGATTAAATTGTTGATCATTTTCATTTTTAATTGATCACTAAAAATTGTACATATTGATAATGCACAGCATGATGTTTTGATATATCTACGCCTTGTGGAATGGCTAAAGTAAGCTAATTTGCATGGGCATTATCTTATAATTTTTTGTCATGAGATCATTCAAAATCTACTCTCTTAGCAATTTTCAGGAATACAATACACTGTTATTTTTATTAGCTGTAGTAGTCATCATGCCCTACAATGAATCTCTTGAATGTATTCCTCCTCTCCTAATTGGAATTTTGTATCCTTTGACCAACATCTCCCATTACCTCCCCCACCTCCCAATTCTCTGGGAACCACCAGTCTACACTCTGCTTTTAAGAGTTTGTCTTCTGTAGATTCCACATCTAAGTGAGACCAAGCTGTATTTGTCATTCTGTGCCTGGCTTATTTTACTTAACATTATGTCTTCAAATTGCTGATCATTCTTATTTCTTATTAATAAATTCATAATCTGACCAATCAATCAACTCATTTAAAGACTTTGGGTATGCACTAAATTTCAGTAGAAAGACAATTCATTGCCAAATGTAACATTATTATTATGATAGAGAATTATTTACTTTTATCACATTAAAAATTGAAAACAATAAACATCTGTTGACAAATTACTATGCTTTATCTCTTTTGTATGTCTCAATTTTCACCATGATATTATGTGATTGATAGTGATGTGTAATCATTTCACAGATGAGGAAACCAACAATTGCTAAGAGTCATGGAACTAGATCACAAGTACAGGTCTATGTGTCCTCAAGACCCTTGCTTACTACCAGTATTCGCTTCACTTGTGGGATTGGATTATTTTAAGACCCTGGTGAGTAAAAGAACTAATATTAAAATCTAGCTCTAAAGTTTCTTGGATGCTTACAAGTACCAGCATAACAGAGATAATAAAATAATACAACTTCTTTCCAATCACCTGTTAGAGACTGGCAAAAGAAACAACATTAAATTGGTTAAAAAACTTTTTCCCAAACAATACAAAGTCCAAGGATTCTGGCATATTCCTCAGAGAGTTCCAGAATCTTGGTGAGAGAGATATTTGTGTCTTAACTCTTTTCTTCTCTAGGAGATCCTGATCATTGTACCCCTCCTAAAATACTAGAGGGCAAAGTGAGGTTTTGTGACTCACACCTGCTACTAAATTGAATATTCCATAAGCATAAGGATTTCAGGTTCATTCTCCAAACTGCAATGACATGAGTGGGTAAATTGCATTTATATCTATTATCAAGTATCCTTTGCTATTTGTGGCTTCTAATCCATACATTCATATTTATGTAATTATATGTGATAAAGAGAAAACAAAGTTGTTTTACAAGAATATGATAGCTGAATGCATTAAACTAAATAACCAATGATTACTTTAACTGAGGGGAAAGAAATCCTCCCAGTTTTCAGGTAATGTTCCTTGAATTGTCTATCATCTGAGGAAGAGTATATTAGGAATGTAGCCATGAAACTAAGAGGACCACAAGGCAGGAGGAAAAGGCTAATTAGGAATTAAAGAAGGTGGTGACTCATATCCAACAGGGCAGCCGTAGTCCTGTGGCCTGACTTGCTGAGGACATGAACCCCTGCTCTGCGTTGATTAGTTCCTTTACATACATCTGTCTTCATCCCCTCAAACAGTGAATTAATTGGGATGGAAAATGAAAACTTCAGAAAAATAAATTGCACCTACCTGGATAAGAGACAGATCCTCAAGCTGTAACCTGAAGAGGTAGTTTCTAAAAAATACAAAAAAAGAGCAGATTTATTTTTAATAGATCCAGAGAAGTTACAGTTTATAAAAATTTCAAGAACAAAGGGAGAAAAAGTAATGATTTTGACTGCAGAGGCAGCTTTCTGCTAAAAACATGTTTAGCACAGTTTTTCTTATACCTCAGAGTACAAAGAGGTATTCCAGGTGTCAACAGATGCACACCAGAGACTGGTGAGATACATAAAAGTGATGTGTATGTGTGTGTGTGTACGTGTGTGTGTGTGTGAGGTACGTCACCAACTGGTCTATATGAAATAGACAAGAGGACGTAGACATTCCATTCTGAAACTGAATTTAACGTAAGTAAGATCATATAAAGTCAATCTTAGTGACGCTTCATTTTTACTCATCACATTCACCATGTTTCATAATTAACATCTTCAATTTAACCCGTGGTCTGAGTCTCACAGTACTCTACTTTGTTGGATGGATTCAGAGTGTATTAAGTTTAGAAACATAACTTGTCAGACTGCATCCCCCAAAACTGATGCCATCAAGACTTTGGAAGAGTCAGCACTGCTGCCCAAGTGTAAAACAGAAAATCAAAGAAAACAAACTTTCCATTTTTCAACAGTGAAGAGGAAGACAGTGAAATATGCAACTGAGATCATCAAACATGAGGAAAAGAAAAACGTAAAAGTTAGTTACATCAGGCCTTAGACTATATTCTTGTCACTTTTAGAAACAGTTAATTGGCCTTCCTCATTATGGGATTTCTTTCTCTTTTTTTTTTTTTCTGACCTCTAATTGAAATCACAAGTGCCTCCTCACCACCATGGAGATGGGAGGTTGGGGCAGCAGCCAAGAAGGAAGGGAGGAGAAAGTCAGCCTAGACATGGACAATAATGGCAGGAAGACATTGGCTCATGATGGAAAGCAGACGCTAAAACACAAATGAGCTCAGGGAGGGATATCCAAGAAGCCAAGGGTATTGTTACGATGGGTAGATTCAAGGTTACTTCTATGGCACTAAGACAGAAATTTTCTAACACCAGTAAAGCAAACGCAGATTATTTTCACCATTGTAGCAAGGGTAGATATAAGTGCTGAACACAATGTCCTGGTAGAACTGACAAATGACAGCCAAGACAGCCCAAGGGCATAACCTTGAGAGAACCAAGAAATATCCCAATGGTTGCGGATAGAGCAAGAGACCACACAGCACCATGGAAACTGATATTCATAGCGCATGTATACATGCAGTGGCAAGATGAACCGGGACTAAATTTGCTTTGGGGATGGTCCCAGATATCACCTCCTGGGCACTCAGGTTTCTAACAGTTGGCTGCTTACCATAGGGGTACTGCCATTCAGCACTTAGTAAAAACTGCCTCCTCCAAACCACTACAATAACCTGTTCACCACACTCTTTCTGCCTCTCCAATTTAACCTCTGATACACTGCCAGAGGAGCTTCCAGAAGCACTCATTGGCACATGCCATCTCTACCACAAAGCCATCTGAGGAAAACTTCACAACTTTCCTGTCTCTTGTTACAGTTGAGTCATAGTTCTCTGTGCAGAACCAGATTAAGGATGTCTTTGAGGGGAGAGAATATCTCGGGAGGGTCTATTTTTATTTAGTTGGCACCATGACCAGGCAAAGTCTCCAACAGAAATGCCACCTGCAGGGGAATGAATATGAACTCAGATCGCGTGTGGAAGAGTATAGCAAAAGCTGCCAAGGTAAGCCTTGTTGGAGGCGGGCTAGAATTTCAAGATATGCCGGCCTCTCACCTGATGTGACATAGAAACCAGCATTCTCCTCTAAAGGAAACTGAAAATCTACACACACACCTGCATAAGTCTCTCAGAGAAAGAGCTTACAATGACACCAGGGGCATCATGAACTCCCTACCCTCACACCATTTCCCACTTAGTTTTCTGGCTTCAAGGGGCTGCTCATCTCCTGTGAGAGGCAGTGTTACCTGGTGGTTAAGAATATTCATGCAAAAGCTAGAGTTCTGCCAACACACAATCTCAGGAAGGAAGCTAAGCCACTCTATGCCTTAGTCTTCTCATCTGTAAAATGGGGCTCATAACCATACCTATCTCCAAGGGTTGTTGTGAGGTTTAAATCTAAAGAAAACACTTAGAATCATGTTTGCAACTTCTAGTTAGTTTGTGAAAAATGTTTAAATTGTCAGACACATTGAAATTCTAAGCATATTCTCCATTGCACAGGGAAAGGAAGGGAAAATCTGTCTTCCAGGAATCCCAGGGTATTGGCATAATTATCCCTGCCAGTTCACCTGTTGGGAATGTTGTCATCGGGGTTGGTGATGGTGCTGTTGGGTTTTTAGAAAAGGAGACAACATTGTTTATCTCATCACTGATCCTGGAACTAAGTTATCTCACTCTTTTTTTCAGCCCACTGTCAATTTTAAGACTTTTTCTGTAAATATTTACAATAAAAGAAACCGATCACATGTATAATCAATGAATTACTTAAGTACTAGGCTGATATCCTAAGGTTCGTTTCCTCTCTCTTTCTCTCTCTCTCTCTCTCTCACACACACACACACACGTGCATAGACGTGTTTACACAATAGTATCTGTCTCTGAGAACTTTCTTGAAAAAGTCTTCATATACAAAAGTAGAATGGTAAGTGCCCTCAGGCCACTGAGGAAAGAGAATGGCAGTATCCAAGATGCTCTGTAGAGCTCTGGACAGGACAACTGGAGATAAAAGTGCAAAGTCCTCTCTCTAATTGGGGAAGGGGTCAGAAGTATAAATATCATTGTCCACAACTCCTGGGGTGTTTGCAGGTGTGTCCCATGGAAGACAAAATATGCCACAGTCAATCAACACCTCCACAAGCAAATACAACTCTTCTGACCATTATTTTTCTGCTTCTCAGTGCCCAAGGGCCGTAAAGGTACCTCATCTCTCCAGAAGCATCACCAGAGGATTTCAACCATCTACTTCTCCTCCCAAATACCTGAGAACTATGCCATCCAAACCATGCCATCACTAATAACAAATCAATATGGCAGAGTCATTCAGTGGGTGAAAGAAAGGGACAGAGAAGAGGAGAATGCTTACTAGGAAAAATATCACAATTATTATGAGCTACTATCATCACCACCACCACCACCATCACCATGCCCAACATCCCAGAGAAGACATGAACCAAATAAAATTTGAACTTTTTCCTTTGGCAGTATTTTCTGGGTTACAAGATACAAGTTGGTGACTTTTTAAACTCATTCTCATTTTTTAAATCCAAAAAGGTCATAGAATCCAAGGATTCTAGAGTTAAGCTGTCATTAAAGACTATATACCCCTTCATTTGTAGATAAGAAAACTTTTCATTAAGAGATGCAATGTGTAGACTGGGTCTAGCGGCTCACACCTATAATCTCAGCACTTTGAGAGGCCAAAGCAAAAGGATCACTTAAGCCAAGAAGTTCAAGACCAGCCTAAACAGCATGGCAAGACCTCATCTCTATAAAAAATTAAAACATTAGTCAGGTATTCTGGTGCAGACTGAGGCGGAAGGTTGAGGCTGGAGTGAGCTGTGATCATGCCTCTGCCCTCCAGACTGGGTAACTAAGTAAGATTCTGTCTCGGAAAAAAATAAAATTTTTCTTAAAAAGAGGTGCATTGTGACTTTTCCAAGATTATGAGATTTAGAAAAGTCCTAGAATTAAAAGCAAACCCCCCAAGTCTTGATGTCTCTTGTCCCATTATGCCCCATGGCCTTACCAATTAGTCGTTCAATAGCAACCTTCTAGATTTCACCTGATCCAACAAAGCACATATACACACACACAGTACAATTATTTCATATTTTCGCTGTTCATTTACTAGAACATTTACAAATCATTTTCAGACAAGTCATCATGATGCTAATAAACTATTGACTCTAGGCAATCAGATTAGGGACCAAGATCTGGCTGGCACATTTGTCTCTTCATGAAGACAACAGCTTGTGCCTACTGGTATAGCTGGTGAAATGGCCTCTCTTTTTTCCCTTGTAATTTGGGAAAAATACTTAAAGAGTGGCCCTACTTTTCCGTTTATAAAATGAGGGAGCTAAACTATACAATGTGTCAATTTGTTTAAATAACACAAATTCCTAAAAGACTATGAACATTTTGGATATACACAATGCCTAACAGAGTTGGATGAATAAGTGGTCATCTAACAAAAAACGTTTTATCATGACAAATTTCGATAAATTTCTGAGAAGCACTTTCCCTCTGCTTTTAATTTTTCACAATTGAGTGACTTATTTTAAAATAATCTGAAATGAAACCTCAACATATAAAATAGGTAAAATAATTTTTTAATAGTATAAATTTATTTGATAAGTACTTATGTATAAGTACTTATTCAGCTAATAAAACTTTCCTAAAAATTTTAAAACTGCAGTTATCAGGATATTTTTACTGTCTTATATAGCCTCAACATCTATTTAATGTCTACGTCAAAGCCTGTTTGTTGGTTACTTTTTTGTTGCCATTTAAAAAAATGTATTTGATTCTTTAGGCACAGAGTTATAGGTGCTTTTAAATATTTGTTTAATAAACAACTACATAAAACCCAATGCCTTGCTGGATGTACATTTTAGTATCAACTTTATCTATTATAATTTTCAACTATTTTACAAATATTTTAAAAGATAAGCCATAAATGAAACATCTATGGAAGTTCCCAAATACCTCCCTAGTACCTAAGAATTTGACAAAACAGAGTGTGGATTCTACTGTTCTCACACCCCTTTCCTCAAATGGCTAGGCTCCAAATACAACTCCAAATGTACTTTTTAAAAAATACATTCCTATCCAGCTCGCAACAGGAGGGACCTAAAATCTCTCAAGACAGCTTGATCTATCACAGTTTAGGTCAACGACCTACGAAGTGAAAGGTTACAGAAAGAAAGAAAATCTTCTAAAGTGAATAAAAAATTGATATTCCCAGATGTTGGGCCACTCACACACTAAAGTAAGATAGATGGGAC